CCGCGAGATTGTTTCGTAAATAGCATCTTTCGCAGCGCGAAAGGATTGTTGCGAGCCATTGTTTTTTCAAGAAACAACATCGGAACGGCATCTATTTTTTTGCAACGAAACAAAAACGCTACGATTAAAAACGACGGTATGAGCGCGATTAACACCAATAAACAAAATAGGTCTGCTTTAAAGCGCAGAGCGAGTCACATCGATGCGATATGGTACAAAAAGCGCCCACCATTTTCCCTGTAATACGAGGAATACGCGGGCTACGAGGAGTCCTCCGAACGGCGGAGGATCGAAACCCTGGTCCTCCGCTCACCTAGGTGAGGGATGAGGTGAGCGAGGTGCGCATGTTCACTTCGAAGAGGGAGCACGCCCCCTCGCGACTCCGCAATTTCATTTTCTAAATGAAGCGAGCCAACCCCCTGGGAGGAGTGGAAGGCTTGGCCATTTCGTGTATACGCTTGTGTCTGCTCGACTGCAATCGAAAGCGCATATCCATTTAATTAATTATGCATGAGATCCGCTGCAGCCGAAACACGGGTCAGCGTTATCGTTAACCCGTGTGAAAATGGTTAAATCGCCAGTCTGCGTCTGTTGCTGATTGCCAGTGGCTCAAACCACTGCTTTTTTTATAATATTATTATATATTTACGGTACGAGTATAAAAATCACCTCGAAAAGAAAATTGTAAATGAAACTAATTATTATATACATTTATCGAGCAATATTATACAAGTGTTTTAGATTTAATCAAATTTATCAAATATACATATAATATTACATGACTATGTATGAAAATATGTGAGCTTCTTACTTTTATTATTATTTCAATAAACTAACCTGAGAAATGTATTAAGAAATGATAAGTACATATAATCTATTCTAGCTATCCTAAATACTTTTACGTTTATACGTAAAAATGGTACAAGTATCTCTAACGATAATTTCACGCTAAATTCTTGAGATTGTGAAAAAATGATTCTTAACAGAATTTGATTTTCATTTTAGAAATAATTAAAGTGTGTACTTATGTATCTTATACCTTTACTAGAAGACTGTTTATCCACATTATCGTAGTCTTCGGCTCAAGTCGATCTTCTTCCGTCGTTCTTTCCTCTACTAGATTCGTTTCTCATTAATCTCTGTCCCCATCCTTTTACTCCGTTTCATGATTTCTTGCTACATTGCTTCGGTTCGTCCCCCGTGTCCCTTTTCGTCTTGCTCGCTTAAAACAACATGGCCGATCGACCAGGCGCCATTGAGCGAGTTGTTGGAGAATTTTTAAAGACTTCTTATGATTTGCTTTTCCATTGGTCCCTACGAGTATATATATCAAAATATTGTTCACCGATGGCGACTCGAGTTATTTCTCATATTTAGCATATTGTAGAAATTTTTCGCGTGTTTTTCGCATGTATGAAAGAAATCTATACAAATCAAAATAATCATTTACGCGATATTTTTTTATTTGATGAAAATAAAAATTCAATTCTATAGGCTATAAAAATAATTTACGTTTTATTTAAACACATTACAAGAGACATTATTGATTTCCATTAAATTTACCCAAGACGGCTCACTTTTGCAGCAATAAGTTGGAATGTTCTTCCTCAACTGTCGCAAGTTTTCTATTACATTTATAATCACTTCAATAATATGAGAAAGTTTTAAATTATTTTTCGAATAAAATTAAGTTAATTGGATTTAAAGGTGATTTACTGTAATGTAGATGTGAAATGTATAGAAACGAAGACATGATTATTTGAATAATGTCTATAATATTTTCAGTCTGTATCTATGTAATACTTTTCATCACAATTTAATATGACATTTCCATAGAAACATGGCATAGTTTATTAAAAATTTCGTAGATTCAACAAATTGCGATTATTGCTTCATATCTAGCTTTATTGCACTGATTGACATTAGCTTCCCATTATATCTTCCATCGTTAGCTCATTATCTTTCTGGATTATAATATTTTATATGATCAGCGTTCAGATCAGCTGAATTGATTCATGAATAGTGCTATAAGTTATCGAAACGGTTCGCGATCCATGAAATGCAGACTTTTTGCAATAATCCAAACTTATTGTCAGCTCTAATCACAAGACTTTCGGAAAAAATATATTAAGGTATGTCGATGAAGAGAACGGATGATCAAAAAACAGTCTGGCGCTAGTGAGGAACGAGACGTAGATCCGGGCAGCAGCGGGGTCTGTCGGTCTGTCGGTCGCCCTCATAGTAGTGCCAGAGCATGGAAAACAAAAAAGCCCTCCTCCTGTCCCGCTCCCCGCACCGCAGCTATCTTTGAGAATGGCCTTGAACTTGGAGGGAGAACCCCATTGGCCGAAAAACCGTGTCGCAGTTTTTCCTCAGGGCAGCGGCAGCAGCTCTACGAGCACGAATCACCGGGCGAAACGGCTCTTCTTACAAGCTACTTGTTAGGTAGCTCGGAAGGTGGAACGAACTCCCCCTTTAACCTAACCGGCAACCCCCCTTGAGGTCTTCTTCTTCGCCCTCCTCTTCGGCGATAAGATTTGTGGTTATAGCTTGTTTTTGGAACACTCCACGGGGGTCGACGATGTCGCTGCTCGTGGTTCTTTTCCTCGAAGAAAAGAAAGGACAAGGCACCTATTAATGACCAGTGAATGAACCCACGACATCGTTGGCTTCTTCGCTGAAATGCGCGTTAATCATTTGAAAAATTCAGTTATCTTGTTACACGTGGATACAATGTTTCTACTTTATTGTAAATCTGCAAGGTTCTTCTGAAGGTCCTCACCAAAGGCTTGCTTATATCTTTTCAATATATTTTGTGCAGGATAAAATTGTTTGTACATTATAGTTAGTGCTAGCAAATAAATGTATATATATTTATTTTGTTTCAAATCAATCCTTTACTTCACCAATCTTGTGTAATAAAACTGAGAGTGATTTTACATTACATTTCATAATATACAAATAATTCTAGATTAAAATATCAATATTTTCCGATCTTATAAATTTGCATTGCTTGTTTCTTAATCAATTGTATTACATAATTGTATATATATATATACATAGTGGAAACTTTTTTACCAAAAGCGTTTAGATCTCTATTCAGGCGTTGCATGAAATCTGTCGTATCTCTGTTTACTGATGTTTCAATATTAACATTCGTAGTCACTTATCGTCACTTTCTGAATTCATGTTCCGTTCCACTGACCTATGAAAATATGACATGGAAGCATAGACATTTAAGAAACTGGAGCACTGAGAGTTCCATGACCCTCTAACCATGACCATCATCCCCATTCTAGTCTTCCTCCATCTCCGGCGATAAGATTTGTGGTTATAGCTCTTTACTGGTCTACGCCACGGGGGTTGGCGACATCGCTTCTCATATATTTCTCTTTCTCTTTTTACTCGAAGTTGGCGGAGTTAATGTATGGTTCAAGGTCGGTAGTAAAGCATAATCGAGAAAGACTTGGAAGAGTTTAGCTTTATTTTAATAAATCGCTGAATATCTTTGCCGCAATAACCTATTAAATCTATAGAATCCACAAATCATATTCCTTCGTTGACGCAATACCATCGCGTCAAAATTTATCGTTTTATTCTTGTGTTGCATTAAGATGTAACGAGACGGTAAGTAGAATCTAATAAAATCTTAATGTTGGTTGTTTTCTTTAAGGTTTGTTTGTGTGGAGTAAGTAATAAAATGCAATTTGCACGCGAAACCCTGAAGTTTACTGTTGCTCAAAGTGAAGATGCAGACGAGAGAACATCAGCATGTTAAAATATATCTGCGTGGGTTCACCGACCCCTTCGCGATGGGTGACTTTTTATCCTAGGACCGTTTTTTTTCCTTCCGCGTCTGCTGAAGAAATTCCCCAGGAATTCGTGAACCATTTCAGGGGCGGGTTTTTGCATGATGTTTCACAGCGTTCGCGACCTTTCCCAAGCTTCTCCACACCGAGGATGGTACCGTAGAATTAGGTCGCAGGAGGTCAGAACCTCGTCCTTCCGTGTCCACCATCCGAGAATTTTACTCGTCAAGGCCGACGCCCGGTGATTCAGCTAGGTTTTTGCGTACTTGCGAATTCGAGGGTTCGTTGGTACGGAATGGTCGTTTCGACGCGTCGTTGTTTTCTCTCCTCACCGAAAATTGATGGTTGCACCGTATCTGTTGACACGTATACGCGAAGAAAAACCATTCGTATAATTATGACACTTAGACTCGCTGTTACGTCATGAATTACAATGTGTTGTATTCTCGATCATAGATACAAGATTATGCAATGCACATATCTCACGACAATTTTCATATATTTAGCGAATTATCAGTTGAAGCTTTGAATGGTTTCAGCAAGATATGATATTAACAATAAGAATTGCATTCACATTTATATTTTATAAAATTGATCATTAGTGTGTTCTTCTCGTTAAGATATGCTGAGAAATAAACATGTTCACAGCATACAGTTGTATTTTTAAACAATTATTTGTGTTAACGCGCGTTAACACGAAATTTAATAATTTTAAGCACAAGTCTTTCCCGTCGCGAGAATCGCGAAACGAGAAAATTCTTCCCTCGTCTTACGTCTTTCCGAATAGCGTTGAGCTGGGTATCGTTAGAGCGTCGCGTTCGTGCGAGAGAAGCTGTTGCTCCCACTTTGCCCGACGAGCGACGAGAAAGAGACGGGGAAATGATAAAACGAGAGAGAAAGATTGCGCTTGCCGCACCCGCGCCCCGCCGCCGTTCTTCCACCCTTCCGCAAGCCGTTTTCCCCCGCTAGACCGGCGCGCGACACGAGCAAGTGAAGGCTGACTGTGAGGGGCAGACACGAGGGCCGCCGGAGACCGCCGAGCACGGCCGAACGGTCGTTCGAATCGCGGCTCCC